AAGGCGAGCACTGAAACATACGGAATCCTGTTCACGATGGTACAATGGTAAAAAAAGCGATGACACAATGGCAAAATGATGAAAACGCGATGGTACGATGGTGAAAATGCGATGGTACGATGGTGAAAACACGATGATACAAACTTGAAACAACGATTGTACGATGGTCAAACAGCGATGGCACGATGATGAAAACGTGATAGCACGACGGTGAAAATGCGATGATACAATGATGAAACTGCACTGGCATTATGTTGAAAACACGATAATATTTTCAACATCGTGTCATCGCATCATTGTGATTTCAGCATCTTGCCATCATTGTTTCATCATCATGCCGTCGTATTTTCATCATCGTACCTTCGCGCTTGAAATCACCATTGTACCATCGTGCATATCGGTTTTAGGGAGACAAAATGTTACGGATCACCGTAATCGGGCGATATTTGAACGATACAATATCGCGACTCGTTTCGCATCTCGCCTGAATCTCACGTCTCGCTTCGCATATCGTACGTCGACGCGAAATATACCACTAAATAGTATTCCCTTTATATTCTATATAAAACAAATCCTTATCTCATTTTAAAGAGTTATGATAAAACTGATATAAAATGATGAAAGAAAAATTTCTAGCGTCATATTTGTTACTGTAAAATCACTTAAGAATTACACTGCTGTGACGTGAAAGAAGAACCACCATAACTAAAATTGAAATTCACTTAATGACAACCTTTGCTCGCATTTTTTCTACCGAAATGTCAAAAACCTTTCCATGATGAAATTTAAACAGAAAATAGCTTGACGTGTCTATAGCCATGCAGTGTAGAAAAAAGTGTCAATATCCTGTCCGCCATTAGGCGACAAGCCCAGATGGCTCCCGCGCTAGTTCCTTTGTCATAGTCAGGCATTTGAGAAGCACATGCACGAAGCGATGCGCGAGAGACAAGAAAAGCGACATTCCGGCAAAACATGAAGCGAGCCGTGAAATTTCGTGGTACAGGATACTTCGACATTGCGAGATCTCGTGTAACAGTATCGTGCCTCGCTTCTGGTCTCGTCGGAATGTCGCGTCTCGCCCGATTCTGCGATGTCCGATATTCCATAATTTTGGCATTAACGGATTCTTTTAAGAACTCATGCACGTTGTAAGTGCTTTTCAATGGCGGATCTGAACTGAAAATGGTGATTTTTTTATATGTTTCTGATGAAAACAAAAAACGTGTGGGATGGTCATCTCATTTTCTGCCTTAGATCATTTAGGGGTCTCCGTGGCCTGGTGATTTCAAAAAAACTACTTGCCCCTAACCGCTGTAGGTTTGACACTCATTCGGAGCTATTCATGCGAGGAAGCCCGTCCAGGTCCAAATGCAGAATACCTATCCGCGTGCGCACGTAATAGTTATCGCGTGCGCACGAAATAACTATCCTTTCGAACGTAATAATTATCGCGTTCGCACGTAAAAGTATCGAGTGGCCACGTAAAAGCTTTCGCGTGCGCACATAATAAATAAGAACATCCTAAGTCCCTTTTATGCCACCGTAGATACTACCTTCTTTTTGCTTAGAATAATACCTAAATCATCTATAAAACTTTGAGCATCGGAAAGAAACGTGTCACAATTGATAACGATAAAATTCTTTCTGCATATGTGTTTGGGTTCTGGATACTGCACTGGTAAAAACTTTCATTGACACGCAGAACAGGGACATCCTTTAAGTTAATATGGGACTCCTATGCAGAGGTAGGAAGTTTCTGATTGACCGGAAGTGATCTTAAAACGGTATTATAAATACAGACAACACAGAACAATGACTGGTTGCCAGGAGACGGACGGGCATAATTATTACCATTTTAGAATTTTATAGAAGAATGTGAGACAAATGTGTTTTGAGTGTCCTTTCTATTGTGTGTCGAACACATCTGTCTCATTTCCCATTTTTCGAAAATATGAATGTTGACGAGCACATGGGTCACATCTCGTGAGACAAATGTGCTCCGAGACAAATGTGCTCCTACAAAGCCATCTTAAGTGTTTCATTTTTTCCAGTAATGACAGACTGACACATCCTGAATTGTTTTCAATGCAAGTCTTTTCTACAACATTCAACATAGAAAAAACTATATTTATTAATTCAGAAAGGTTACCAGCCTTTTATATAACTAGAAATAGGGTAAATCCAGATTGATAATAGGTCCATAACAAATCCTATCATATAAGGAACTGATTTTAATTAAATGAAAATATATGTGACAATACATACATGTATCATACATATTTATATATCTAATTACTTTAAGGCCAATATGCTATGAGACAAATAATTGAATATAAAATATAATTATAATAAATTGTAACCATTAGACATAACAAATTAAAATACTAAGTAATCAATCGTCTGCTATTGTTAGCCAGCCTACTTCGATCCTTAACTGAAGTTAAAGCTGCGGTCTCACTTACTCCCGGCAGGGCCCAGGACGATCAAGGCAGAGTCCCGTTAGAACCCCGGTGGATTGAAAACGCGCGAAAATGATAACATTGATACATAATTTTTATTTAATATTGTATCTATTTTTCCAGAACAGTAATTCATGATGATTTTCAAAAAAATCCTTATGCAAGACTGGATAAAAGGGAAATTGGAAGGGTTTAATACAAACAAGTAAAATCATCGCAAGTTGTCGTGATACTTTTGAAATGAACCGAGCTTTGCCTGGGCTCTACCGGGATCAACCGTAGCTCCATCGTCATCTTCCGGGGCTCTGCCGGCATCATCCGGGGCTCTGTCGGCATTCAAAGGGGCTCTGCCGGCCTTCACCGTGGCTCTGCCAGCATTCACCGGGGCTCTACCGTAGCCCTAGCGGCTATATCATGCCCCGGATCATCCCCGGTTTGTGCCGGCAGAGCTAGGGTTGGACCTCTAAGTACGTAACGCACTTTGAGGTCGGACCCCAAACAGCGTTTGACCCCAAAGTGCGGTGTTACAACTCTTTCAAAGTTTTTGTTATTTGATTTTGTCACGTGACTTTTTCTTTCTTTCTATTTTAAGCATTATATCTTAACTTTTTACATTTTGCGCGCAAAGTATCAGCCGCTAAACTTATTGAAACAGTTATATCCGCCGCGTGCATACTGGCCAGATTCATAACATGTGACAAATGTTCGAGGGGCGTCCGTGCCCGAGTGGTTAAAGCTGGAACGTCACCAAATGATCTTTACTGTGTCGGTGTGACGTAAAACCCAAACAAACAAATGTTTGATCAAGCTAACGAATAAAACGGGAAGAGGAAGTGAATACCCTGTACACAAATTCTAATATAGTTGTGTGACAAAAATCATAACAATAAATCGTATGATAATGGCAGTAATTTGTTTTGTTGTTTTAAGTTTAAGATTTTTGAAAAAAAATCTAGTGTTTATCAGAAAAACAAACTATGGTTTTCTGTTTAATTTATAGATATATTCAGAGACATAGATAACAGTTATCTATGTCTCTGTTATCTATGTCTCTGATATGTGTGCTTGTTTTTTCCACGCGAGCCTGACGTGCATTGTCATTTCATAAACATAAAACCCCTGGGGTAACAAAACAAATATTAGCTTTAGAGTGTTCCAAATTTGCAGCAGGACAAGTTCATAACATAAATTTTGCAGGGAATATTAACTTTCCATAATCACGATTTTTTTTTTTTTTTTTTTTTTTTTTTTTTTTTTTTTTTTTTTTTTTTTTTTCAAAAATAATTTCATATTTTAGAATATGATAATCATTTAAAGTATTATTATGTAAGATGCTCTATTTTTTCTGTATATAGCGCTTTTGACATTTAAACTTCTTGAAAAGTTTGTCGCTAGGCTATAAATCTTTTACAAAGATTTTAACTTTCTATGCCACTCCTAGTATTTACAAAAGATTTCATTTAAGACATTTACTCTAACGTAAATACAGTTTCACATACTTCAAGTGTCAAACAGAAGAAACAGGAAGACGTTAAATGGCTTAAATGGACATAAGATAAAATTTAAATCTTTATAAATCGACATAATACATAGTACAAGAAAAAAACATGACATCAAGAATATAGAAAAATTGGCGACATTTGTCTACAGGCTCTTCTTAAACCAACGATTTATAGGAATGGCACTCTACTAAACAAATACAAACATAAACTACATGTGGAGCAAGGGGAAGATATACGCCTTTTACATGTCTGAATAATCAAAAAAATCTTTCAATAAGGGTGAAGACTCCATCAAGAAACTAATCTGAAAATGTTTATCTTAATTATCCTTGTGATACTCTATGACCCAACCATCCCCCCACCCCAAAGGTGGATACATTTTAGTTTTTCCCTAAGCCATGATTCATTGAACTTTTCTAGAGGTCTACATGAGGCTAGTGACCCCCGAGGCAGGCCCAATTTGACCTAAGGGTAATCACAGTAAGAATACAGTGTCATTATAACAACTGGCAAATTTATTAAAGAAAAGACAAAATTAACTTGACCAGTTATAGGGAATCAAGCTTCCCAAAATAGTTTTTGAATTATCTTATTCAAATTAAACATATTTAGTAAGATTTTCTATATTTCAATACATTTTTGCAATAAAATTATTTTATTTTAAAGATGAGCATTGAATGTCTTTTAAATGAGTTAAATCATTTCCTATGTTTAAGTCACTTAAATGCCCATAATGCCTCAGATATGATTTAATTTTTATTTCACAAAACCTTTTTTTTTTAATTTAGTGTACTTTTATAATATCCAAAAAGAAGCTCATAGGTCAATTACATGAACCATGTTTTTCATCTGTCGCTTTTGGGCAGTACAGTTATAGTGAATTAGTATTTTGTGTGATAGTCAAAATATTATTTTGTTTACATATTGATAATTTCATCAAAAATGTTTTAAAATTGATCGCTACTTAACCAGCATCTAACATTCTATAAAAAAAAATGTGAAAACACATACACACATACTTTCATAACTCTCTACATACCTGTAGCAAAATTCCGATGATGTAAAACAATACAAAAGATAAATGTCCACGAAATATACATTTTAACTGGTACAGGCGAGATGGATACACTGGATAGATAAATCAGTGAACTTAAGATAGGCTTCCTAATCTCCCGAAACACATTATTCGACCAGGAAGTACAACTCCTTATTTGCCTCCATAATTATAGCTGAAATAAATCAACAGTCAACAGCAAAGTGTTAAAATATAAACAGTCAATCTTAAAACTTGAATCTTAAAATTTGCATATAAAAAAAACAGATCTGAAATGTTCGTGCAAATATTCTCTTCACAAAAGAAACAATATTATTAATTTTAAGTATCGGTACTCGAAATAATTTCATCTGATTAACATCTCATGCATCACATCCGCGTATCTGAACGTGATATTATATATATTTTCAAATTTCATACTTGTTCTCGTTATTATTGTTGGGGTTTATTTTGAGTGTGTGTGTTCATACGTGCATATCTGATTGTTTAATCGGTTGTTTAGTTTGTTGGATGGTTGGTTTTTTGTTGTACGTCATACATACATGTATATTATGTTTTTCTATCGCTCTGTAATAGAAAAGTCATGTGATTAAAATGGGCTCTCTGGTTGGCTAATGGTAATGACCAAATAAACATATCGGTGAAAGAAAAGTTACAGCAATGTTATAAATTATTTTATATGCTTATAAAATATATATGATGGTAGGCCTGTCAATAATACAGTTGGTTTTTCATGTAAATAGAATTTGATGCACGACGATTGCAATGAAAACACTACTTCCGGTGATGATGTAGGAATATCCCTCACTCTACATGAACGTGTCACCATTTACAAAAAAAATAAATGACAGTGTCTTCTTCTTGCATTGAGTTATAAAGAGCATGTTTTTGAAGTTTTACAGTAAACGATGGTTATGTGAATGACTTTAAAATACAACACACTGTAGAGTCATTCATTTTTGTGATTAAACACTGTTCGCGTATAGATGTATATTTCAGGGTAAATTTAAGAAATAATATATCCCAAACAGTGATTTTATCGCTCAATAATATCACTGTTTGGAGTTCGGATGCGACGAATTATATCACGAGGGCGTAGCCCGAGTGATATAATGATGCGCATCCGAACGATTATCAAGCGATAAAATCAACGATTTGGATATATTATTTCGATTCTAACACAACATCAACAAATAAATGCTGCCATACGAGATATTAAGTAAAATTGCGCCTGATTTGTTTCCGTACTTATTTTCAGCGCGTCACATTTTTAGTGGTTACGTCACGTGTATAATGATTACGTCACATATCTAAATATAGAACGTCAAATAGTGACTTTATAGCATATTCTAACACGACCCGCATTTTTCCCTATTGAACATAGAAGAACAGAAAGTGTGTGTTATTATGCAACAGATGCACAGTTTGACGTTCTATATTTAGACATGTGACGTAATCATTATACACGTGACGTAACCACTAAAAATCCGACGTGCTGAAAGTAAGTTCGGAAACAAATCAGACGGAATTTTGCTTAGCTATCATGTACCGCAACATTTATTTGTTCATGTCGTGTTAGAATCGAAATAATATATCCAAAGCAGTGATTTTATCGCTTGATAACATCACTGTTTGTCGTTCGGATGCGCATCATTATATCACTCGGGCTACGCCCTCGTGATATAATTCCTCGCATCCGAACTCCAAACAATGATGTTATTGAGCGATAAAATCACTGTTTTGGATATATTATTTCTTAGATAACACACACTTTCGGTTCTTCTATGTTCAATATGGAAAAATGCGGGTCGTGTTACAATAACTAATAAAACATTATTGACCGCTGTGAACAAAAAAAAATCTGATTTCGTATGCTAATAGGCCTACGTGACGTAATTTATGGCGTGCGATCACGTTAGTAATTCATAAAGGGTTCTAGTCAGTCATTAAATTCTTAAATATTTACAATCCAGTCAAATTATATAGTGCAGGTTTATTCCTTTCGAAATGTAAAATAAAAAAGTTTAATCTTTAATGATTAAGATTTGATATTATTTAATTTCTTAAATCTGTAGAATTTGCGTGAAATCAAATACAATCAATGAAATAACTTAATATGAAAAAGGCAAAGCCTCAAAGCGAGCTCGATGTACTTTTTACGTGAAATAGTATGAAAAAATCTCAAATGCAGTGACGAGTGCGTGTGACGTCACACGTACTGTGTTAAATATGGCTCCGTCCCTGTCGTGAAATGAATAACGAGTTTTGAAAACGTTGATAAAACTTTGTTTATTTTATTTCACTCTTTAATTTTTCAAGCGAAATAAAGATTATTTAAAGTGAAATAAAAAATTAATGTAAAACTTAAACGTTTGCGACATTAAAATAGCGTACTTGATTTGTTTGTTTTGCACGTGCTATTTGGCGCTACATTGTGACATCACGTAAACAATACTTTAAACGTCTGTACAGCGTTAACGACTGAATAAAAGATATTGGTGCTCGGATTCATGTTCTTAGTTAGACCATTTTCTTTCATGCTAGATAGTTTTCACACCAAAATTCGACAAAAAATTGTTTTTATTTATCAGATTTCAAACAAAATGGCGCCTTCGATTTTCATTTTTTATACACAGCTTCCGTTATTCTGGTTCCCTGTCCAATTATGATTCACATAGACGTGCGCGGGTGACCAGTCTACACATCCGTTTTCAGTCAGAATTCCTCAGTTTTTACCGTTATCTTTAAATTCGAAAGGTTGCGATGTGTCCAATTCGATACTTTGGACGAAAGTTTTCAAAACCATCACTTAGCACGTACTCGCGTTACCGTTTAAAGCTCGCTTTGCGAGCAGGCCCTTCGGGCCAGCTTGTCGAGCTCGCTATAAATATGATTACTGTGTTAGTAAAAGTAAAATTTAGTTACATCCGATCAAGCCATGAGTCTGCTTTTAATATATGTACATAGACTACTGCCGTATTACTAATATGAAAAAGGCAAAGCCTCAAAGCGAGCTTGATGTACTTTCCTCAGTTTTTATCGCAATCTTTAAATTCGAAAAGTTGCGATGTGTCCAATTCGGTACTTCGGACGAAAGTTTTCAAAACCATCACTTAGCAGGTACTCGCGTTACCGTCAAGCTCGCTTTGCGAGCAGGCCCTTCGGGCCAGCTCGTCGAGCTCGCTATAAGACTGTAGAAAGTGTAATGGAATTATAATAGAAAGATAATCTTAGAGTAAAGAATAACTTAATAAAATGTTCTACAGTCAAGTAACCAACTCAAAGTTGTGTGGTCCAGAAAGCCCCCGAAGAACCCCGGACGGGCTATATATTGAAAACCTCGCCTTTTGCACATGCAAATCACTGCGCATCTAAGTATCACTAATGCTCTCGTCCAATCAGAATGTAGCACGTCCATTTAGGCATCGAAGCTCCCAATGTTTACCAATGGCTAGCCGTTTGACTCCAAAGTCGAAAGAAGATAGATCAGAACAATCCATGTCGATTTCTCATTAATTACGTAATAGTTATAGTACATGAAACGAGTAAGTTACGAGGATATAACACTGGCTGAGGCGACATCAAGGGATGTTTCTGCTAAAAAATGGCGAGGCCGATAACTGTTTTATCGCAAGGGACAGCGAAAGTCACTAAACGCAGCGCCTCAACACCTAGCCACACAGGACAATCGGTTTGAAAGTCAAGTATCAACTTAAGATAAAATATTTATTGGCTCTAATAAAATATTATGCACCCATAGTACATGAATGAAATTATCCTTTTATTGTTTATATGGTATAACCTTTCACATTTATGTCTTATGTCTTATTTGTGCAATGTCGAATTTTTCGATCCGCGGAGCGCCAAACGAAAATACGACAAAGTGATCACTGTCTCGTATTTCGCTCCATTGGGCGCAAGGCGAAAAAACGATAATACGACAAAATCGCCACTTTGTCGTTTTTATTTGTTTTGGTCGTCAGACCAAACAAATAATGGAAGCGAAATTTCAGAGTCTAATGCTGTTAATTGCAAATGCCGAAAGTAGTCCACTTTTTTAAAGCGGTTACTTCCCTTTATATGTACACTAACGCCGAAAAAATCAGGGGAGATCACTGCGTAAAGATGGTCAAAGACAGGCACATTAATTTTCAAGCAAAATAATTCCCGAATGGTCGAAGATTTCTAATATTGTTTTATTGTATTTTCTGATCGAAAATAAGTAAATACAAAGCGGAAATTCAATCTCTGACACAGAAGTTTACGACAAACCTAACAACAAGTAGTTCTCAAAACAGCTTAAAACTAGCGATTTAAAAGAAAGAAATATTTTTATTTTGTTACAAGTATCCAACAAATTACAACGCATTCAAAGTTTAAAAATAGCGTTGGCTTATAGAATTGTCAATAAATGCACAATCACAAATTACGCGGATGAATATGATTTTATCAATGAAAATACTATATTTTTAGCGATGTCGATTACCGAATACTACACAAAGTAGTGGAATATATAGATTCTACATGACGGACTGTTTGGGCGAGAAGATTTTCGCTAAATTATTTACTTCAATTTTGAACAACAGGTTTATCCTGAACAAAATACCTCGAAATAAAAAAGGAATTACAAACCCGAAATGCAACCCGAAATGCAAAGGAAGTTCTAAATTTAGAATGACTTGATGATATTCAGACGATGTTTGTATAACTTCTCCGTGGTGCAGGGGTAACGCCCTCGCTTAGTGAGTGAGAGGTCTGGAGTTCAAATCCCAGTCGAGGAAACCTTTTTTTTAAATTCCTTTTAAAGTGTCTTTGTTAATGAAGTATCCATGATATGCAAGAATAAAGTGTGGTTGTCGTAAAAAATGAACATAAATGATTTTTTGATGCAACTCTAGTTATGCAGAATTCCGTATGTATCAAACTCTGGTGCCTTGCAAAATGAATTATAATACATAAAAATAAACTTGTACAGGAAAATACATACAGATATACAGTACGATTTAGATTGCAATCAGAAAATACCACAGAACTTGCAGCCCTTTATCGTTTTCTTCAGGCCGTTCACATATAAATTCACCGTGGCTGAAGGGTTTTCGCGCTCGCTTAGGAAGCGAGAGGTCTGGAATTCAAATCCCAGTAAAGGCAACTCATTTCTTTTTCAAATGGTTTAAGTCAAATAAACATTGGATTGAATATCAGTGTTGCAATTAGTCTTATAGCCAATTTACTACAATTAAAACGATGGAAAGCATTGGTGGCACTATAAATATAATCTCACAACCTGTACCTTTCTTACATTCTGAGACCCAAACAAATTCAGCGCCTTCTGTGCTTTGATTGTTTTTTGTTGTTGTTGTTGTTGTTGTTTTGCGCTTATTTTCGTGTAT